AAACCAGTGTTATGTTACTGGTAGGAGATCATATACTGGAATTTTCTCTTGTATGCCAATAGCTTTTAGTTTTTGTGTTGTTATTCCATGTTAAAAAAGTATTTTTTTTCCCCTTTGGATGACTATGCAGGTTGATCCACACTGTTCTTATAAGATTAGCTTTTCTGTTTCTGTCACAGCCGCAGCCAGCAGATTTTTGCTTCTGTATGGTCCGCAGGTGATAAATTCTAACGCATTAAAGCAGATGCTGTAGTCCTTTGCATTTTCTTTTTGTTTTCTTTCTTCTTACTTTCTTTTCCTTTTGTTATACTTCTGTTTCACATGCTAGGAATTCTCTTTTGCAGATGGTTGCTTTATCTGTTGCTGTTTTATTTTTTTCTCTGACGCGTCAAGCCTATGAATGGGATAGTAACCTGGTTATCCCATCACTGCTGGCAGCTGTTGAATTCAACTTAAGGATGCCTTTTCCATTTTTGCTTTTAGCTATTGTGCCAATTTTAGCTTCCTTTTTCTTATCCTTGCTAAAGTCCCAACCTTCTCCTCCAATGACAAGCTTCATCACTGTCTCACTTCTTTGCTATTTGTTTGCAAATGGTTTCATAATCCTGTTGACGTTGGTTTCTCAACTAGTCTTCTATTTAGCTGCAGTTGTACACACTTCTATCAAGGCAAGGTTGGTAGCTTTCTCATGCTTTAAGAAACTGAGTATTTAGATTATGTAGCTTGCAATGTTACATTGGAGTTATTTCAGGTAAAAAAAAAGACAAAGCAGAAGTTGAAGAGAGTAAAAATCTGTTTTGTCTATTCTAGAATCTCCTTTCAATTACATCTGTAAAATGTAAAAAAATTTCATCTCCCAAGAGATTTATATACCCTGTTATTTTTAGTTCTTTTTCTCTCCAAGAGAAAAAACCGCTGCCCCCTACTCTTTTGCTAAAGAAATGTGTTTGACTTTGGATAATGTAGTGGTTAAGTCTTCAGGTTTTTATCTAGCATCTCCCTATTAATCTTGTAGGTACTAACTACTATTAAACTGAATAATCAGCATGTCCTTTTTTTTAATGAGAGGTTGTATTATTCAAGTTGCGCTGTGCTCTCATGTATTTTCTTTTAGTGTCTGTGTTTTATTGTGTTATAATAGGTGCACATATGTTACCTAATTAATGAATATATGAGTTTTTACCTTAAAATTTTTTTGTAGTTGTAGCCTTATTTGCATAAATGCTCATTAAGCTTATTCACTATTTTTCCAAAACTCTTCTTAGTCTTACTGTTTTTCTTTTTCAGAAAAATTTGTAGAAATACTGCTCTGGGCACTGAAAATAAATGACAATTGCAGGTGGCAAGCATGGGGGAGGAATTTTTCTTTTTCTTGTCCACGCTTGGTTATTAAACTTTCTTCAATTTTCTTTTCCTTGAAGGTAAATATTACATTTGGAAATGTGTCATTAATAGCTCGATTATCAACTCTTATTTATGGAATATAAGGCAGAGGTGTTGGCCTAAGCCCCACCATCTGGTCATAGAGACTGGTAGAAGGGATGATTGAGCATCAGTTTCTTTGATGTTAGTTGTCTCCAGAAGTAGAAGATTATAATCTTTCAGATTTTTCCTTATTATTCTCTTTTTCTGTCAATAGGCAAGGGTTTTTTTCCCTTAAAATAAGTCAATAGGCAAGGATTGAACTGCGTGTGGGTCTGATTAATTTGAGAAACAGGTTATAAGGATTCTCAGAGTCAACACGGTGCTTATTACGGCAGCAGTTGCAATTTCCTTGGTGTGTTTTGTTCATCCAGCTTTGGGTCTTTTCGTACTCGTCTTGTCTCATGCGTTCTGCTGCCATAATTCAATGTCCAGGTCTGTTTTAATGTTTGAATGCTTATCTATCAGTTATTTTGGCTTCTCATGCATGAATAGGATTAGGCATGTGAGTTTATTTTTCATTTCAGGCACTCACTCACAGTATAACAAGTTTGTGTTCTTCTGACACCCTAACCAGAACTGGAATCCAATTCATTATTTCTTCTGTGAAGTTTTAAGATCAATAAATATTAGAAGCTTCTACGCAGAGATTGTAATCTGTCTAATTAGATCTATTGCATAATGATAAACTCTTCCTACGGGAAATATTAGATTGCCGAAACTTCTATAACTAGACCGTCTGTCAATATTAATATTTGGAGTTTCTTTTTTTTTTTTTTTTTTCTAAAGAGCATTTGGAGAAAAGTTTAGATATTAGAGTTGGAGTATTACACCAATAAATACAAATACATAATAGAAAACCTCCTATGGAAAAGAGTACAAAATAAAGCAACATGAGAGAAGAATCAGAGGTTAAACTTTAATTTGCATTTATTTACCTAATTCCATAGTATTTTAGATTTACGTAAGAGAAGAAAAGAGAAAACGGGCACCAGATGTTTATAGACTACAAAAGAACACTCTGAGGAGTCAGGATAAACTACATAAATCTCAATCATTAGTCTAATTAATCTTCTTTGTTTATTTTGCTAGAATTTGTCCTTTTCTTTCATCTATTCTTTCATTTGGAGTAGGAGTTAATTAAAAAAGTGCGAATAATTAAGAAAATCAGCATATTCTTCTAATTCTTCTGGTACTTGGAAACAAACTACTAATGCTGGAAATAACCAGCATGCTGCCTTAGGTTGGATAGCTCTCTGAGGTTTAAGGAGATTATGGACTATAATTAAGGTTGATGCATAGTCTTTGATGAGCCACTTCTAGACTTGTTAAGGTCCATAATTTTCCCCCTACACTCAGGCCATTCCTGTTGAAGAAAACGGTTCATAGATTGTAATCTGGTTAATTAATGAGCAACCTAATGAGTACCTTAAGGTGGATTAATGAGATTCTAAGAGTTGTCCGTTTCCCTTGTTGTGACAGTTTCTTGATGGCTTCCCGTAGAAAAGAGTTCTTTTATGATAAATATGAAGCCAATGATAAATCTCAGCGTTCTGCACCTAAAAATGAAGGTACACTTGACCAGGATTTTCCTCCAGAAGAGAAACCTCCCAGCTTACCAGGCTCCCCAAAAAAATGTTTTGGAGAGACACAAATAGAGATCTTTCATCACAGGCATGGCTTGCTGGTCCTGCATCTTGTTGCCACGCTAATGTTTGCCCCCTCACTGGTGGCCTGGTTGCAGGTATGGATTGCACATTCATCTTTTCTTTTGTGCTTCCTTATTTAAATTCTGAAGAGACCTGAATCATTCAATATATGGAATTTGATCATCGTGCAATGTTCTAGTGCCACAAAAACCCACTCAATTTTTCCAAAGCTAGATTTAAGCCAACATTTACTTGCACCTTGAACACTTTATTTTGACTGTTATTATCACTTTATGGAGAAAATAAAATCCATGCTGCTTTTCTTGAATATATATATATCTATATATATATATATCCATGAACCAGCATGTAAGAAAAGCCAGAAGACTTTCAACTTGGTTGCTGACAAGTCATGTTTTTCTTTTATTTTGAGGGATGTTAATGCTCTTTCTGTTTTTTTCTCATTTTTCTCTCTGCTTTTGCAGAGAATTGGGATGAGGCAGAGTTTCCCATGGTTCTTGGATTCGGCCCTCTGCATAGGTGTAATATTCCACTGTATATTCAACTTAAAGCCTGAGTCGAGTTTTTTGTTTTACTTTCCTCCCATCCTGAGTCTTGAAGTGAGACCACAATTCATCTATATGCTTGCCGGATACTATTCTTATTTTTCTGGCCTGGACTTGGCTCCATACAGAGTTTTCTACGCCATGGCTGCCATAGGGTTCATCTCCTTCGTTTCGAAACTCTTACAGATAAAGAAAACAGAGCAGGGAGATCAACGTTTTCGTATCAGAAAGCATTCACACAGACACTGATAAAGAAAACTGACATAGCTCCTTCTATCAGTTATGTAAGTATATGGAGTGACCAGTTCTCACCTACATCGGCAGCCTTATTACTGTTGTTCCACTGATAGCAAATTTTCATATTCAAACTGCAATTCTCCTGATCTGACAATTTGAAAGTAAAAAGAAAAAGATCATTAAAATTAGGACAAAAAAGTTGTTGGAAACTGTTTACGCGGATTGGCTCGGCTTTTCTTTAATTAGGCAAGCTTTTGTTTTCCTCTACAGCCTAGATGTAGGACAATTTTGTTACGAATTTGTATCTGTATTTGTATTTGTATTTGTATTTGTATTTGTATCGAATTTGCTTGTACGAATTAGAGAATTCCACATATCTCTGATTGGCTATGGAGAATCATAAATCTTTTCTTCCAAATGCTTGATGAAAATTATTTGCTTGCATCTCTGCCTTCGATTGATAGATCTTCAACAAAATTGTAGTCCAAAGAATACTAAAAGTTGTCACATGGTATTTTTTATTATAGTTATATATTATATAAAATAGTTTTACTCATAATAGCTATATAAAATCTCTATCCACACATAAATATTTTATTCTTTGGACTAACAATAAACTTAAAATTAAAAAGGATTTACAAGAGATTGCAGAATATAATAAACATAAACTGCCATGTCTTTATTTATATTTTTGTTGTTGTTTATTTAAGGTAATTTTTCTTTTAAATATATAAAAATCTTTTAAATGCTACACTATTATCTTAAAATAAATTAAAATCTCAAAATTCAAGAAAAATAATTTATAAAATCCATAGGGTGTGGTTAATGGTTGAACAATTTTGAAACTCTATAAGATCACATGCAACGACCCTGAACAAGAAATGAAATAAATTATAAATTGAATACGGAAGTAAAATAATAGCGTTAGAATTTGCATTCCTTACACAATAATTCAGAATACCCAATAGAGTTATGAGAATAATTTTTCTAAAAGAACAACGAAAAATTAAAGAAATAAATAGAAAGTAAACAACTGAACATTCTATTCGTGACCCCCTTATGGATCAGAGTCTGAATTTTGATTCTCTTGATCTGAAATGGTTAATGAAAGAGTGAGCTACACTAGTTTAGTAAGAATGTCACACTACTCACCGATACAGAAATGAAAATTAGTAAAAATAATGAAAACAACTAATGGGTCTCTTAATTTAAGTAAACTCATTTATTACAAATAAAATCATTTATTGTATACTTACCATAGTAAAATTTTCAAAACTAACATATAGAGGCAATAACACGATAATATCATAATCTCATATTCAATTAAGTAAGAATAACAACTTTTTCTTTTTATCTGACTACTGATATCTGTGGGGGTCTGCAGGGATATCCCCACTATGCGTGAACTCTTATTCAATATTGTCAACTAACCAGTCATCCCCATACTCCGTTCGGTATGAACGCAAAAAATATCATCCCTCAATACCCTATATGGTATGAGAGTGAAACGAGCTGTCCCCATACCCCGTCCGGTATGAGCGCTAAAATACCAATCCTCAATACTCCGTTCGATTTGAGACAACGTTCATGGCAAGGTTCTTTATATACCCGGTATGTTCACATCTCTCAGGATAAGGGTACCATTCATTCAATCACTTAATCAAATAATTTTCTGTTTACATTTAATTTTCAGTTTCATAATTTAATTGTAAATTACACAAAACAAATAATATATGCATCAAGAAAGTGCAACTGAATCATTATATCAACTCCAGTATATTATTATGCATTTGAAACTAAATTAATCAAACAGGATAAACAGTTAATAATAACCGGTTTCGGGTCTATTAGTAACATATGATTAATTATCGAAATTTTTTAAATTATCCAAAATACCACATTATTTATAATTAAACTTCAATTTCATAATAAAGAATAAGGTGATGGATTCTTACCTGAATCGGTGTCCAAAATACTAAACTCTCAGCTGCACTTACTGGCGGTCTCCGGATTCCGTAAATTTTCCTTCAGAGATTAAAACACGCTTCGAGTACCTAGAAATATCCCAAAAAACCTAAAATCGGTGTTAAAATTTTTTTTTAGCTAATTTCGAAATTCTGACACGGTGGTACCGCCGTGCTCCAGTGACGACACCATCGCCTGCAGTAGCGGTTTACCTCGAACTGACTGTTTTTAGTCAATTTCGCCTGATTTCGGTCGATTTTGTACTCATCCCTGTGAGAAAACATGTTAAGGGATCTCGGTTGATCGAAAAAAAATAGAAAAATAGAAGTTTACCAGTGGCGGAATTTTTCGATGCGGCAACTTCGTCGGCTTACCTTTGGGTTGGACGTTTTTCTTCGATCAACATGTGGGAAACAGAATGGTGAATGCAATGGTGAAAAAATCGCACGAAACAGAAATCGGAAAGTCTCATCGTAAGCAGTTTTTAATTTTTTCTGCGGTGGCACCGCCAGATTTTACCCGCGATTTCCGGCTCATCCTCTAGTTCTTTTACTCCGATTTGGCCATGAGGGTGTTTAAAATCAAATTTTGAGGGAATGAAATTTTTTTTACCTTTTTTGGCAGTTGGAGGTGGCTCCGGTACGACGGTGGGTGGTGATCGGCTTCCTTTCCGGCAATTGCTTTTTCTTCTCCGGCGAAAAGGGTGGGGGAGAGGGGAGGAGCTAGCGGTTAGGGTTAGAGTTCGGTATGAAGTAAGGTATTTATATCCGTTTTCTTTTCATCTGGATCGTCCATTACGTTTGATCTCGATCGTCTGATCGCGTTTAAATAGAAAATAAATTTGGATCGTTCATCGCGATTTGATCTGGACTGTACAATCGCACCTAAGGTGTAGCGCCCGGAAAGGAGGAGGAAAGAGGAAAAAAAAAAACCATGTCAGCAGCCACGTCAGCAGGTCCGGTCAGCAGTCCCGGCCAACCGGGACTTGCCACGTGGCAAAACCACGTCGTTCCAAAAAGGGCCACGTTGGCGATCCGCGTGGGCGCGATCGGACGACCCAGATCAAGCGGGCGATCGGACGGCCCAGATTTAAACGCACGGACGGCCCAGATTTAATCAAAAAATGGACGGCCCAGATTAAAACAAAATAGAAGGCTGAGATCAAAGGGCAAGGGGTTATAAATAGAACCCCCACACCAGACCACAAACCCTAGCCGCCTGCCGCTTGCCGGAGAAGACGAACCAGAAGCCTGCCGCCGCCACCCGCCGCCGCACTGGAGGAACTTCCGACCGTCGATCGAGGTAAATTTCGTACCCCTGACTCGTTTTTCCACGCTGATTCCTCCTGTGACCAAATCGGAGCCAAAATCCCGGCCAAACGGCCGGAATACACGGCCGAAGCCCAGCGGCGCCGCCGTGTCCCTTCTCGGTTTTTACCTCCAATGAGGCCCTTCCCGGCCTCCGTTTGATGTAATTTTTATATCACCGTGATCACCATTCTTTTCTCTACAGGTTGACCGGAGCCGAATCACCAAAACACGAACCTCGCCGGAGAGCCGCCGCACCCGAGAGCGCCGCCGCCGTAAGCTCTGTTTTCTGTGATTTTTTAGCCCCCCGAGGGCCCTAGGGTTGTTTTCTCACAGGGACCGATGCGAGTGTGGCCGAATTCGGCAAGAAACGGCCGAAAACAGCCAACCCGAGGCGACTCGCCGCCGCCAGCGGCGGTGCCGTCGCCGGAGCACGGCGGAGCCGCCGTGCCGGAGTTGCGATTTGGGCCGAAAGGGGCCCTGGGCCTAATTTGGGATTTTTTTTGGAACACGTGCAGGTACCAGTAGTGCGTTTCAGTTCCCCGAGGAAAATTCAGGAAAAATTAGGGACAGCCTGCAAGCGCACTGTGAAGCCGTGTTCGGACCCCGAAACGAGTAAGGACCCCTCACCCTATTTCCTATCACGGTATTAAAGTTCAAAATGATAAAACGGTATTTCTTGAATTAATGAATGTGTGAAATTGCTTAAGGTGGCTAATGGAGCCCGAGTCTAGTGTGATTGGTGATTTACTGTTATTTGGCCTGTTTACAGCTTTAAATGCAAAATGAGGTTTGATGTGTTCATTTTGCAGATTTGTGTGCATATACTACGTTTTTATTAATTATGGGTTGAATGACTGAAAAACTGATACTGTATGTTGTCTGTTGGGCATGAATTACGATTTGCTTGTTTAAATGTGAATTGACGATGCTGATTGAGGGAAAGAAGAATGGAAGATTGTATAAATTGATAATTGTGTAATGGGGTCAGCCTGACTAGATATCCTAGGAGATGGTGGACGGACCG